ATCACCTCCCTGCATGAGACTGTAGGTGCACTGAGCAGCTTGTTCAGCAGCAGACTGCTGTACCCACAGTGCAAGAGAGAGTGCTTCATCCCATCAGCAGTCAGACTCTTAAACATCAATACCAGTACGACTTAATGCAGCACTGTTACGTCACATTACACATTCACTTCCCTTACCTTGTGCAACACAGTATATCGGTGCAATATTATTTAATCTCCAATGTGAACCTCACTGCAAATTAGCCTGTACAGCTGTCAATATAAACCCATACATACACTGATCAGCCAAAACATTCAAACCACTGACAAGTGAAATGAATAACTTTATTATTTTGTTCCAATGCATTGTTCTCCTGGGAAACCTTTGGTTCTGGCGTTCACGTGGATACCACCTGACATGTTCCACCCACTCAAACACCGGTACAGACCAAGTACCCCCCCTCATGGCAACAGGATAATGCAGCATGCCACACTGCAAAAACAGTTTAGAAATGTCCTGTGGAGCGTGACAAAGAGCTCAAGGTGTCGACCTGGCTTCTAAATTTCCCAGGTCCCAATCTGCTCAAGGATTCTTGTGATGTGCTGGTACCTCAGATGTACCCCTAATCCAAGGTGGGGCCTCCTTGGATCAGACTTGCTCTGACCTGTAGAGGCATGGACACAGGATCTCTGTGAGTGTCCTGTGATGTCTGGCACCAGTGCGTTGGCGGCTGATTGTGAGGCGGGTTAACAGCACGTGCCATAGATGCTCATTCAAATTGGGATCTGGGGAATTCGGAGGCCAGGTTGACACTTTGAGGTCTTTGTCACATTCCTTGGGTCATTCCTGAGCGATGTTTGCAGTGTGGCATGCTGCATTGTCCTGCTGGGGGAGTACTGTTGCCATGAGGGGGGGTACTTGGTCTGTATCGGTGTTTGAGTGGGTGGAACATGTCAGGTGGTATCCACGTGAACGCCAGAACCAAAGGTTTCCCAGCAGAACAATGCATTGGGAACAAATAATCAAAGTTATTCACTTCACCTGTCAGTGATTTGAATGTTTTGGCTGATCGGTGCATATTCATATAAACATACTCTTTTTCATTCTTTTGGTCATTATCTCTCCCTGTTTCTTTTTATGTCTCATTTTGTCATATGGATCACTGTACATTTATTGTGATTATTTTTTTATTTAACCTTTATTTAACCAGGAAGTCCCAGTGGTATTAAAAATCTCTTTTACAAGAGAGACGTGACCAGCAGCCAATCAAAACATATTCAAAATGCAGCACATTAGACATCTAAGACAAACTCCACACAACACCTCTTCAACTAACCATAACTTTTTTTTTGAAATTTTCTTTTGTACAATGACGGGAAGCCCCGCGGTAGCAGGGCATCAAAAAATTGAGTAAAACTCTTAGTGTTCCTCTCCACGGAAATCTTTAGTAAAAGGCGAAAGATTTATACGATCTGAAGAGAAACAAGAGTGATCTGACTTCACTGACGGACTCTGACCGACCAGATTCGCAACCACACTAATCTAAGTCCTGGTTCACCCTGAAATACACTATACAAAACCAACACCACGCGATCGGCTAACAGAGAAACACATAGGAATACATTGCTACGGACTTCTTATGTAAAAAAAACACACGTTAATTCAACATCGGTTAGCCAATGTTGCTATGCCGCAATGCATGATGGGACTGCACTTCCGCATTGTGTTACGGTTTAAAGTGTTATTATCTCTCTACGTTAGTTACGTTCACTTATTTTCAACCCCACAATCAAAAGCACAACTACGCTGCCAGATGATTAATTATGAATTATTTCCAATTGCTTTAATGACCCGAGTTTTAAATAAATTTTAAATCAAGTTTCGTAAAGACCCGCCCACACACACACTATCACAGAGCTGGGTGTTCAGGTATAGAGGGGTAAATGGTCTACTAACTATAAAGTAGAGACATTAACATTAACTACTTTAAAGATAGGATTAACTGACATACATTAAATTATTTGACTGTGTCCTTATATTAAAATGTAGAAGCAGAGGCAGGAGCAGATGGTAAGTTTGTGATTGTAGAAGCTGTATGTATTAAATCAGGTGACAATAAAGGGAAATATATGCGATGTATACGTGCTGAAATACTAGTGCAGTGTTTTATATTCTTTGCTGACATACTAGAAAGCTCAGCAATGAAGCAGGGCGTCCAAAAATTGAGTGTCCTTGGTTTTGTATTACGTCTATAGCATGTATTTGATCTAATTTTACATACAATAGTTAATATACAGACTGGAATGGCGATTTTTTTTTTTAATATTGTTTGTATTAAAATTTTCACACACACTCACTCACAATATATGAAGCGGTAGGTTACTGAGAAATAGTGATTTCTAAATGCCTGCAGCTTTCATGCAGAACAACGACACCCTGTGGTGACACACTGTTGAATTTCTCACTATTGCATTGACCCCAAGCAGCATTTATAGTGATTTTATCGCTTGGTTTTATCAGCAGAAAGAAAATAAAACTATTGTAGGTCGAAATTGCCCACCACGAATGTAAAAGCTACTTCTACTCCAAAAAATAAGACTTTGTCGAGTTTTAACTTATTATTATACTTATTATTATTGCGTAAAAACACACCAGGAATTCATTAAATTAAAAATAAAAAGTCCAACAGGTGAGGTGGAGTCAGTTTTGAGGGTGTGGATGTGACGTTACTGTTTATTTCGTTTAAAAGGAAGCATCTGAAACCTTTCTGTTGTGTTTTCTTTTGTTTGCAAAATAAGAATAAAAGAAATGGATAATACTCCACCCACTGACGACTCAAGTAGCCCCTTCGTCATCACTAAATAAGTTTTTTATGCCCCTGTAAACACAGTTACAGTGAAAATGAAATACATTAAATAACAACTAAGGTTAACTATAAGGCGACTTACCTGTCTGTAGTTACGTCACGTTATTCCTAATACTCTTTGCTGCAGATTTAAAATAAGGTCCAAAATCCACTTTCCAGCGCAGGTCACTTTTCAGACAGATTATAAAAATTTAATTTAAGTCATGGTACCGGTCTTCGACTTGCATGTCAGCAGCTGGAGCATCATGTAGCTTGACTTTTTCTTCCTTTCTTGCGCTCCGCGATAAATCTTCTGACAGTCCGCCATTTTGGCAGCAGCTAGCTTGACTCACCTCTGCCCCCTCTGGAACGATAGCCCACCTTCTAATTGGCAAAAGGAAACCGCTCAATAATGAGTAGCTGAATTAACTTAAAATAAAATTTAACTGGAAGGTTTATTTGTTGCACTATGTATCCTGTTTTTACATTTTGGTTGATTTTTCAGGCCAGTTACAGCGCCCCATGTCATCGCTCTTTTTTTTTTTTTTTTAGCGGTGGCCCGGATGTTACATAACATTCACGACTCCCTAGGGAGATCAATGTCGAGCACACAGACAGTCAAAATATTAAAATAAAAATTGAAACGCTATAGTGAGCTCACATGTAACATGAAAAAACACTTTCAGACGACTACACATTTAATAGACACTTTATTACATGGCAAAAAAACGCCTCAGTCTATTCCTGTAGCGCAATGCATGATGGAATGTCTTGCTTGATTAGTGACCAGACAGGTTCACACTTTAGTAACTGTCTATACTCAGCCCTTAGAAAAAGTAAGTTATAAACTTAAGTGTGTAGATCTGTCTGTAGGCTACAGCGCTAATTTAGCTTAGCATACAGGTATAAACGGACCGTACCTATGTTCCCCTGGTCCTATGTTCCCCCCTATGTTCTGCAACTGATGATTCAATGCCCAAAGGCGCAGCCCTTTCTAAATATATGTGACTCTTGGGGAGCATTGTCTGCGCCTTAAGCATTGAATCATGCGATCACATGAGGTAAGTGCGTTTTTCTTTCGCATTTCAGGGGGGAACATCGGACCCGGGGAACACAGGACCCTTTTTCTGAAAAACGGGGAACACGGGACCCTTTTTCGGAAAAACAGGGAACACAGGACCCTTTTTCGGAAAAGTGGGGAACATAGAACCCTTTTTCCGAAAAAGGGTTCTATGTTCCCCGGTTGCAGAACAGGGGGGAATATGGAACCCGGGGAACATAGGGATGACGCCCCTCTAAATAGGGGAACCAGCTAGCCTGGCTCTGTCCAAAGGTCGGCCAGCAGACACTAAAAGGTCGCTATATTCATTATGGTCATTATATTCTATTTATTTAGTCCCTTAACAGATGGTTCACTGTTTTTGGGAGTTTTGTGTCTCCTAACAGAAAGAAGTTGTCAGGTAGCCAGTGAGTTTTGGGATAGAGTCAAGCTAGCTTTAGCTGTTTTCCTGTTTCCTGATTGCTAAGCCACACCACCTTCATGTTTACTTTACAATTCAGGCTACCAGTCCTCTAAATTACCTCAGTAAAGATGAGAGTAAACATGTTTCCCAAAATGTTAAATTATTAATTTAACAAGTGACCACATGGGATCCCACAAGAACAATACAAAATGGCTGTAATAAGAAAGCTTTTGCACAATATATTTTGATGAGGGATTTAAATAAAGACAAACTGAGCAGAAATTACCGGACAGGAAGTTACACAGTTTGCATGTGCCGACACCTGATGAACATAGGCAGCAAACTCAGGTTTCATTGCAGTGTTTTAATCAGTTTTCTTTAACTTAAACGTATTTCTTGCTAGGTGTATCCCAACAGCTGTTTTACTCTACTGCCACTTTGCAGCTGTAACTCTAATAGGTCAGCAGGTGGTGCTGTTTGATTCAATAACTTTCAGGGAAATCTGCTTTTCTAAATCAATGTAAGCGTTACTCATCTTTAAGTGCAGGATCCAGCTGAGTTAGAAATTTTGGGTTTTAATTTGCTGGAAGTGAATGCATTGAAAGATATCAATAAAGATACAGCAATAACCAATTTAATGATGAATATCTTAGTTTTAAATATTCATTTTTTTAAATAAATAATTCAATGGAAAGAATATCACAACAAAGGAAAGTTTTCTAGGAATGTCAGATGTCAACAATTAAGAATGCAGATTACAAAAATCTTCCACACATTACCCACTGGATCAACCCAACCTGTTTTTTAGCCTGTGACCCTTAGCCCATGTTTTTGCTGGTGAGACTGACACCAGTTCCCATCTTCTATAAATGGACTGCAACTGGTGGCACATCTTCATGCAACAATGGGGACAAACTCAGAGCTCTTATCAAACATTTTTTTATTCTTTTCACATGCTCTTACTTAACATTTCCTTTTATTTAATTATTAAAATACTTTTTATTATATTATCAAACATATATCTTAGATATCTCAGAATGACGCAACTTCAATTAAAACTAATTGCCACAATTAACTGAAACTGATGCAGTCTGACACAAAAGCCCTTACCTTCAGAAGGTTATAGTGTTTTTCTTAAACTGTTTTACAGGATGTGTTGATTTAACTTTTTGTTCATGGAGGCAGTAGTTTGTAGTGGTCTTAAACTGTGTGTAGTGAGAGGTGTTACTTGTATTTTGTCCACCCCATTTATATCAGTGAGAGTCAAATACATATTAAAATATCTAGGAAAGTCTAACTAAGGTGTAGAAACATCGCAGAAAGACAAACCTGTCAGTTACATACTGACCTAGATTCTTGACGCCATCCTCAGTGTATCAGTATCAGTGCTACTTCGGCTTTTCTGTCCCTTTTTCTGAGTCCGGTCCTTGATAGAGCCTCAGTATTTTGCTGTCATGTAGTTTTTTCCACGTCTTCATCTCCAGGATATAGTCATGATTGATGTAGAAAACCACACGTTTTTTCATATTTCTCTGAAAGTAGTAGTTATTGTATTTCTTGTAGTCCTTAGTCATGAATCCGTACGCACTCACCTGAAAACGACAAAAACAAAGGACAGGGAATAACCAACACCAAGAAATGATTTGTGAAAAGAAAAGTTGGGCATTTTATAGAAATATTCTTGTTTATAGAGGCATGAACTGCAGTACAGATGACATGTGGAGACGTTTAAGTAATATTAACTTACAGTGTCACAGGTTTGCAGAGCCAGGAAGAGAGCAAATGCCCCATTAGTCGGTCTGTTTATTGCCCAGAATGAAGAATTCATATGTCGAGACTTTAAGAACCTGTGCATAATAAACAGTTACGTATGAACATACATAGACATTAACAATAAGTCTTCACATGTAAGATGAGACAAATAAACTTTTCTGTTTCATACAGAGTGCTGCAGGGATGTCTTGTTTTGTAGGCCAACCTGGAAGTTAGTGTCGCCATGGTTTCCTCAAGAAAAACCCCATTGGACTTTTCCATTGGATTCTGGATTATTGCAGAAAATAACATGCTAGGGATGTTAGTTTCCGTTAATTTTGCTTTTGACAGCCCTGCACTCATTAATTAGAAACTAAATGGATATTTTTTAGAATATAACCCAATCCCTCCCTCTCCAAAAAAACTACGCAAAATTACACGCAATACAGGAAGCCCTTCCTTTTAGTCCCGTGCTCCAGTGACTCGGCTTTAGATTGCTATCCAGTTAGGTGGTGAAATTTTATTGTTTGTGATGTAAATATCTCAACTTTAATTCTAATCTCTGTTGGCTTTGCTGCCAGACAGCTGGTTAGCAGCGTTGACACACAGAAACACAGTGCCCAATGCCCACCCTCTTGTCTACACTGGTTAGCTAACGTTAGCCTTGGCTGCTCTACTCTGCACACCTCCTAGCTAGCAGCGCCACTCATTCAACGGTTACTGCGGGTCCAGTCTTCCCCCAGGTAACCCCTGTGAGAAAGCGGCTTCATTTAAAGCTGCAAAAACCACTTTAGCACTGTTAACAAAGTTAGCACCATTAGCCATGCTGACATTGCTAAAGGAACTGAAAGAGCTAACAGTAGTTAACGATGCTAAAGTTGGTGCCGCTAGTTAAATGTACTTGCGTGTTATGTTTAGCAAGATGATCTCCACAAATTAACACCACTTTTTTGATTTCTTAAGCGTAAATGCCATCGCCAAAAGTAAAAAGCTAACTTTAATTAACAAATGAAATACATTACAGTCACAGGACTTAAGCATCACTACCACTAAGTGTTCGTCCTCAGTGTGATGACGTTTAATGTCCCCGTCCCCTGACAGCCTCTGTAGTTTCATTTAGTCACTTGTTAGCAACTGCTAACAAGCTTCAAAATTCACAAGCGGGATATTTGACGTATTTTATGTCGTAGAAAAAAATATGAAAGTCTAATAAGCTTGTGTCAAGTTTAGACCTTATTTCAGGCATCTAACCAAGAACCCATTAAAAAAACCCACTGACTTCCAGTTGACACGAATTTCGAACTCAATCCTGGGTCGTGTTAAGATAGTAATCCCAGATTTGCGAAAACTCCTTAACCCAAACCATCATCTATCCCTATAACCAAGTGTGTTTTGTTGCTAAAGCTAACCAGACCTTAACCACAGCATTTCCACGTCATAAAACAGTGAAACAAGAACATTTTGCAGCGGCTTGCTATAGTTTTGCAAATCTAATGCTACCATTTTACCAATTTTTATTGAAGTCCAGAAGTCCAAAAGTATTGACATCAAAATATAATAAAAGTACCAAAAGTAAAAGTAGTCATTATGGAGAATGGTTCATTTCAGAATTGTGTTCATTATATTACTGGATTTTACTTATTGATGCATTAACACATTAGTATAATGTTGCAGCTGGTAAAGGTGAGGTTCATTTTAACTGCTTTTTATGGGGATCAATAAGGTTTTATCATATACATAATATTACTTAATAATTTGTGGGTTGATTATATTGTATAACTGAAGTTAATAAATAAATGCAGTGGAGATATATGTCCAATATTGTCTCTGAGATGTTGTGAAGAAGAAGTACAAAGTAGCAGAAAATATCAACGTAAAGTACAAGTACCTCAAATTGTACTTAAGTACAGTACATGACTAAATGTATGTAGTTACATTCCACCGCTGGTTATTATCATTGTTATCATGAATCATAAAGAGTGAAAGAGCTGGGTAGGATTGTGAGAGGACCTGTTTCGAACGTATCTGAGGAAATCCTGGTGCAGAACATAGAAGCGGGACTCGTTGTACTGCCCAGAGTAGTACATTCTTGGCCTGTGGGGTTAAAATACAAAATCACATGGTGATAATGTGGCAGTTGTAGTTCATCCAAAGCAAATGCCACAGCTCCCTAAAGAGTAGTTAAAAAAAGTTACTGTACAGGCTATGTCTCGCCTAAAATGTCTTCAGAGACATATTTTAGTGCACCGTTAAACTGTAATACGAGATTGAACACTTCATGAAGAACTCTCAGTGCTGAATTTAGAAACACTGTTTCGCAAAGTAAACTGTATAAGTTAAACGGCCTGATTTTTGAGGGGAGTTTTGTGACTTCCTGTCTGAGCCACAAAGGAGCATGAAGTGTTTAACATGACTTGTAACCTCCATAAAATGTACTAACGAATGCCTTCTTCCATTTTTTTGGTAACTCGTGAGTCAAAGTTGATTAAAACTTAAAAACCGGACTGTCTCCATAAACATGGTGACCTGATGACACATTTCCAGGCCCAATCCAATATGTTCCAGCACTGGATATACTGTGTACATGTTTTAGTGTTTGTGTGTTCATGTTACCTTCTACTAATAATAATATTTAGACAGTTGATACTCACCTCCTGTTTTTATATGAGCCATTATTAATCTTTTCTCCTCTCAGAAGACCACCGAGCCAATTGTAATCCCTCCTCCCCTCAGGTATCATCACGTATTTTATACCCTGCCAAAAGGAAGAGGATGACAGGTGAGTGTGTATGTGTGGGGTATAAATTACAAATTACAATATTACACATTACATTCATTCAAGCTTTAATACCTCATCATGAGGGGCGGCTTTGTATCCGAACCTCTTGAATAAATACGTCGCCGAATGGATGGAGTAGGCCGTGTGAACGTACACCGAAGTTCTGTTTCCCACGTCCTCCTCGTAACCTTTAGTGACTGCACCGTTCACCCTGCCGCACAAACAGATCCAAATGTCAAAGTGACCTCCATAAATTAATTTCAATCAGCTTAGAAACCAATTTATGGTTATTATTTATATGATGAGTTTACTATAAGATCAAGCACGACTGCGGCTGTCAGTCACTCTGAGCTTACTCTACTTACATGCAAAAGGCAAACAGGTAAAAATAAATGAATTGAAAGTTACATAAATCTGTGTAATATATCCATGTAAATGCACATTCATTGTGATACAGAAATGTAAAGGCTGTTGAACAAAAGTACCATTTTGACATGGCTAAGGTAAAAGTTTGAGTGTGAAGTGACACACCCCCATTCAGTTACTCAGGGTATCACATGACGGACCAGGAAGTTGTAATTCTACTGTTTGGACATGATGAATATACGTAGAGATAATAAAGAGATTATATAACAAATATATAACATAAACAAAGGGGCATTTGATCTGGCATAAATAATTCATGTTGTCTTAAAAATATGTCAGCAACCAACCTATCTGTCCTTTTCCAAATCCCTTCAATGATGTGAAATGAGGCTGACTCCTCTTGATGTACATTAGGTAGCTAGTTAGCTAAAATAAGATAATTTCACATTTAACCTGGCTGACACCATTGATCTAGTATTGGACTAACACCTCTTGCTCTGGCTATAAATTAGGTAGCTATTTAGCTAAAATTTGCTAATTTCAAATTTAACCTGGCTGAAGTTGTTTATCTGGCATTAGACTAACTCCTCATAAAAACTGTACATTGGGTAGCTAGTTAGCTAAAATTAGCTGATTTCAGATGTGACCTGGCTGACCCCATTGATCTGACATTAGGCAAACTCCTCTTGATGTAGCTATACATTAGGTAGCTAGTTAGCTAAAATTTGCCAATTTCAAATTTAACTTGTCTGACACCATTGAGCTAAAATTTGCTAATTTTCAATTTAACCTGGCTGACCCCATTGATCTGGCATTAGACTAACTCCTCTTGATAGTGTAACCCTCTTTTCTTGACTTTTAGCGTTCCCAGTTCTTCCGGGCTGTGGGTAATAAAGCGGGCTACAATATATCGTTGTTTCTCTCTCTCTTTTAATTATCGCCAACACGGTAGATAGTAACAGCATGCTCCAACTTCAGGGTACAACAACTTCTCTCTCTCTTACTCATTCAGCACGAGGCACTCACCATGCGTCACTAATACCTGTCCCCACAAAACAAGGGCAGGTAGGAACCAATTCACTCATACAAGGGAATACAATAACTACTTAAAAAAAGAAGTGCACATGAACATATAAATGAGACAATATACTAAGTACTATAAATGACAATAAAATAATAATTAACAAGTAACTCAATGATGCCGTAAAAATACTATTACTTAAATATATTAATAATATATGTACGGTACTGCTTAATAAAAAAAAGACAAAATGACACAATAACTTAAGTAATAAAAATAACCTAAAAATATAATGTGCAGTAATTACAGTTACAATAGCTATACACAGAGCTGCCAACTCTCACGCATTGACCGTGAGACTCACACAACTGACACTTTTCACACGCTCTCACGCCACATGTCCATTTTCTCACGCAGTGAAAACTAAATTCATAACTGATAACGTCGTGGCGTGAAAAGAGGATACTGACAGCGCACGGACAGACAAGACAGAGCAGCAAAACGCAGCAGCATCACCGTGTTATCCAGGTCATCAGGGGGAAAGCAAGAAATATACAGATATCTATTATAGACGAATTCGGCGAGCGATTTGTGTATGCCACCATCTTGCGGCAGCGCCATTGCTGCGGTGACATGTGTCAGTCATCAATTCATTATGCTGTCATTGTGAACTGACTCTCTACAATGACAGCATCATGAATAGCTGGATTGATGATGTTAACGTTAGACAGTGGCCTCCGGTAACTGATGAAGGTATCTTAAATGAGTACCGATATTAATTTCGAAATTAATCATTTGTTTGAGCGATAAGCAGGAAAGATTAGAGTAATAGGGAGATAATAGACTGTATCATTAAACACTGTGTAATATAACGTTAGCATACGTTACGTGTGCTGACGTTGGCAAGCTAGCAGCGTGACATTTAATCATTATGGACAGGCTACGTGACCATCACATCATATTGAAGGCAATCGCCTTCAATCTGATGTGATGGTCGTCTAAAAGGCGGTGTAAAATGTGCCCGACCCATCCAGAACTCAGGTAATTTTGACCCTCAATCAGAGACCTGTAATTGCTGTTTTTCTGGTCATCGGAGGCCAGGCGATCAATAAAATATTCTTGAATACCTAAAACAAAACACAAACACGTGTTGTTGTTTTTAGTCACGTAGCCTGTCCATAATGATTAAATGTCACGCTGCTAGCTAGCTAACGTCAGCACACGTACCGTATGCTAACGTTATATTACACAGTGTTTAATGATACAGTCTATTATCTCCCTATTTCTCTAATCTGTCCTGCTTATCGCTCAAACAAATGATGAATTTCGAAATTAATTTCTGTACTCATTTAAGATACCTTCATCAGTTACCGGAGGCCACTGTCTAACGTTAACATCATCAATCCAGCTATTCATGATGCTGTCATTGTAGAGAGTCAGTTCACAATGACAGCATAATGAATTGATGACTGACACATGTCACAGCAGCAATGGCGCCGCCGCAAGATGGCGGCATACACAAATCGCTCGCCGAATTAGTCTATATTGTAATTTATTCCCATGCATGCAGCAGCATCTCAGTCAGCGTCTCTTCCTCTCCTCTCATGCCGTGCGCAGGAGCGAGTGAGTTACTATGGTTACGGGAATGCTCTGTGTCTCTGTCACTTTCTCACGATTCTCAATAATAGGTTTTTAGGTTGGCATGCCTATGTGTAGCGGTAGCCAGTATGTACAGTGCTGTGTGTAAAACCTCACTCCCCGACACATTAAGATGCGCACTAGCGACAGACACTCGGGGCCATGGATTTTAGTCTGGATTATGTATGTAACTATCTCAATGCTTAAATCTAGTAATATAATTTTACATTTTTGGTTAACATTATACATGGTTGCTCTTTCTTGTCTTAATCCAAGAGGTTAGGTGGTGTAGAAATGCAGGTAATTTGTTTTAAATGACATGTTTTTTGAACAAATCTCACTCCAAGCTGAAGTCAAAAGTTGGCAGCCCTGTATACATTAGGTAGCTAGTTAGCTAAAATTAGCTAATTTCAGATGTCGGCTGACACCATTCATCTGACATTAGGCTAACTCCTCAATGTAGCTATTTGTTAGCTAATTAGGCAAAATTAGCTAACTTTAGATGTGACCTGGCTGAAGTTGTTTATCTGACTTTAAGCTAACTCCTCTTGATGTAGCTATACAATAGGTAGCTAGTAAGCTAAAATCAGCTAATTTCAGATGTCAGCTGACACTATGGATCTGACATTAGGCTAACTCCTCAATGTAGCTATTTGTTAGCTAGCAACTTAGGTAAAATTAGCTAACCTAAGATGTGACCTGGCTGCAGTTGTTTATCTGACATTAGGCTAACTACTCTTGATGTAGCTATATGTTAGCTAGATAGTTAGCTAGCATTTTGCTAAAATGGGCTAACTTAGATTTCATTACAGTCCGTCTGTCAAAACTGTGACAGTCCCCAAGCCACATTTTTAAAACATCTTTAAAATTTGGTTTTCTTTTCAACATGTTTTAACCAGACATTGTATTTTAAATATAACACCAAAGGGGAAAGTTGACCGTGGTCTTGTCGAGGATATATAAAGAGACCTGGATACAGCATGAAAATTGCTGAGTGGTGTATGAAGCCAGGAACATTCAACCGCCGTGTGTAAAATTACCAAGATGATAAGTGCTGCTTCAGCATCATTTGGCCCATAGACAAAGTGCACTCGAGACTTCCGCCTGTTGAGCAAGCTACTTCCTGTTTAGCGCCCCGCTACCTTGAATGAGGATAAAATCATTTAATCTTGTGGCTCTTCTAGACTTTCCAAATGTTATCGGACCAAATTAATCAAATCCTGATAGTGAAACAAGTCATTTTGCGGGGGTTGTAATGCTAAAAAAAAAAAAAAAAAAACAAGCACTGATTTACTATTTCCCAATGTAAGTTATGGTAAAAAGTTTCATCAGGAGACAGACTCTGGAGTTGTAATTCCACTGTTCAGCCAAGTGAAAATTGGCTTCAGAGGACGGAGGGCCTGGCTCTGCTGTGTTCCAAGCTTGCTCAACTGTTAATGGAGCACAGGCAAAAAGGGGCAGGACTCAGGAACTGCTAATTGTTGTATGGAAGTGGATGAACGGCTATAGGTTGTACATAGTGCCTGATACCACAGTTCACACAATCAAGCACAGGTAGGACCAAGTCACGACTTTGCCAATCACAAGAAAGTCTCAACTCTTTGCACTTACTGTGACGTAAGTGCAATGAGACTTTCTTGTCAAGTGTCAAATCAAGACAGGCAAGTCCAGTTTGGGCCTAAAAAAAGGTTTCTTTCTTACCGGAAAACGTAGTCATGAGCATCGATCTCTTTCCCCATCTTGGAACCGTTGAGGATTCCTCCGGTGCCCACCACAGCACAGCGCACACACCCATCGCTGCCTGGCTTTGGAAGGAGCAGTGGCTCTTTTGGCTTTGGGATCAGCTTCACTGCACTCATCACCTCTGCAGAAACAAAAATACAAACACTTAATGTGTTTTAAAATACAAAACAGTTCACAACAACAACACTCTCTGTGGTTCTGAATGTTGCATACAGAACCTTTAAAGGAGCTTTTTTTTTTTTTTAAAAGCAGCTCGGTCAATCTGTGGCACTGAACAGCTTTAGCTTTTAGAGAAAGTTTCTCATTACATTGACGTTGCCAGTTAGAAAAGCCATCATTCTTCCTCAAGAAAAAGGCTTTTCTTGAGATGATCCATACTAAAACTGCTTCAAGATTTACTGAACAGGTTTGTCAAAGTGGACCTCGATTTGTCACAGCTTAGCTTATGATGTCGAAAAAAAATAAGATTAGTAGTTTGGCAACACCCAAGAGGAAGAAGTAGCATGAATAGAAACAAGTCCATGTCCATTTCTTGGTGACCAAACTACACATAGTGATCATGAAATACTCTAAGTCTCAACACACTTGGTACCTGTCTAACACAGACACACAGAAACACCTACCGTCATAGGGAAGCTGCATAAAGCCAAAAGGATTGTTAAAATGTGAAAGCCGGTTCCACTCGCTCACGTTGATGTTGTCCTTGTGCAGAAACAAACGTATGTTGGGAAGGAAAGCCTTTTTGAAGCTCTCGTCCTCAGAGTTTCGCAGAGACTCAGCGCATGTCTGAGAACATAGGACAAAATATGAAATGAAGAAATAAACTAAGAATCTTTTCCAAATCTAAATTTAATTTGCAGTGTTCATGGTGATTTAATGAAGCCTCCGCTCACAGCTGAAGAAACAACAGACATGAAGCCAAACAGGAAGCTCCAACATAGAAAGTCTGATTAAGAGCAGTAATAGCTTTAAAGGAAAAATCAAACAGAAAATCCATGCAGGTCAAACCAGAGACACACAGCTGAACATGTGGCTGTGCAGATTACCCACTCCCACAAAGGTAATGCATATAATTATTATACTGTCTTGTCTTCTCATAGCATACTTACCCAGGGTCTGGGTGGAGCATCCTGGTTATAAACATCATCAAAATCCCACCGAGGAGCCTTCCTGAAGGATTTTTTGAAGAGGATGGGCATGGGAGTCTCAGCCACAGCAGCATGTGTAGAGCTTCTCATCTGATCCACTTTTAGTTTTGTCACCGGGTTTGTTGTTGTGGAATCAGCAGTTTTTGCCGCACTATAGTTACCTGTTATATCCCAGAAGTCAAACACTACTTCATGTTTGTGTCTCTTCAATCCTGAGACAGCAGCCAAGCTGATGTGGAAGTTTGACCAAAAAATAAGATGCAAATAAAGTTACTAAGACACACTTTTTAAACTATCTAAATTGTGTGCGGAGACATTTCTTTGAAGACAATTTAACAGGATTACCAACTAGAAAATAATACAGATGAGTTTCCTTCTTCCCTCTTGAGTTTTTCTAAAACAACTTACTTGATATTGTTTGAATAATCTCCCCATGTTACAAGAAAAAGTAAAAGGAAAACTGACATCACAAGCAGCACAGAAAAAATCCTAGACTTTGAGAGGGCCATCCCGGAGACTGACAACTGCGCTCAGTCGCGCATGAAGTCAGAGAATTCAACTCCCGCGTCTACAGTCAAGCTTGTACTCCATGCTCCGTACTTTGTAGCCCATTGGCCAGACGCACGAGGGATATCCGGTACTTCCCGAGAGTCCCCGCACGCGAGGGCGGTGCCTTCTGCTCATTAGAATAAAGGTCACAGCGCATTTTAAACTATCCAGTTTTCATCAAGCCCTCCATTATTGAAAAGGCACTGGATTTGAATATGTGCACATTCTATAGCTCAGACATTGAAACCTTAGAACAATCTTTTCTTCTCTTGTTATTCAACTTGGACATTTTTTTTCAGTATTGGTTGAGTTATAATGATTAAAATATTATGACTCTAAATTGTGAGAATATAAAGGTTGGTGTCCAACTTGAGGACAAAAGAGCAGAGTTTTGGACCAGTAATCTAATTATTTTGGCAAAATATTGTATTCACAATTTTAAAAAAAAATCCCAGTATTTTCTGCATTTCTAAATTTTATGCAAATAATATCAAATAAAATGCTGTAAAATTGGAAAGGCCCTATGTACTTTATGAATATCTGTGTACCTTTATTCCTGAATGACCCCTTGTATTTTTTTCTGTCTTTAATTGTTAATTTCTGTCTTGCAGTTATATCAATACTGTGATCTGTATTTAAATGTCAAATGATGTGTTTTTTTCTGATTATAAATAAAATTTAAACAAACAAACAAACAAAATATCCTCTGGCTCATTGATTCTATCCCGTTAAACATTTCTTGTCTTGTAATTTTACCTGTGTGCTGTGGAAGGATAAAGTTGACATTTTCTCAGATCTTACTATTTACCATAGAAATATTACTGCGATTACTGTAACAAAGATATTAATGCATTTTTCCTCATGAACCCCATTTTACTTCTTGACAAATTTACATTCACAAATGTAAATTTACAAACAAAAATAACCAAATTCATTATATTTTTGAAGGAAATGGAACAATATCTGTCAGCGATTTCTTCCTCACAAAACAAAAGCGCTATCAAAATGATAAATGTATGCACTATTAAATGCCCCAAATTAATTGACTACTTCTCTGCTACTAAAAGGTCTGTATAAATAATCTTTGTATCAAAATAAAGGCACTAGTGAGATGTACTACAGAGGTGTAAGCATCAGTATACTAGAAAATGAAGAAATACGATGGAATAAATGAAAGATTTTACCTCCACCTAACAAAACGTAACACTTTTTGTGTAAATATCCCCATGGAATTATGCAATCCAGCCCAAAAACCTCCAGCAAACCATATCACAACATCTGAATATTACCTGTGCATAGATGGGTGCTAATATAATGAAGGAGAACAAATTTAGAGAGCTTTAAGTAATGGGAGCCAAATCCTAAAATTGGTCATTTTAAGTACATTTGTTTACCATCTGTGCCTCAAAGGTAACGTTAACACTCATCTGATGTTAGGAGCCTTTAGTCTGGTGTCAGCGTAGTACCACTTTCAGCCACCAGATGACGACACAGACAGTAAAATAAGAAGCCTTGTTGGGCCCATAGGTTGGGACATGAGACCCTGACGTCAGCTGCCGGCTGAAGCTGCCCCCAGGCATTTAAATAGACCTCTTTCACAGCAGACATTTTGACTGGTCATAGTAGCGCATAAAAGCATAGGTGGATCTGGTGACCTTAACGATGGTTCAGTTCAATTAAGTTTCCCAGTGAGCTATTCCAGTGAGCCAGCATGCACAATACCTACACTGAGTGGGATGCAGCTATATTAAATCTTATTAAACACACCTGTGCTTTTCCAACTATGACATGTCAAAATGCCATTGTGAAAAAGGTCTCTGACAGGGCGACTGCAACTCACTCAAAACCCAGAGACTTTGGATTCATCATTTCTAGTGAATCTGAAGTTGTAAATGAACGAAGGGAAGCTTGTTCCTGATTAATTTAAAGTGTAACTTCTGTTTTTGTTTCTAAGTGATTAATGGGAACAACAGTTTAATGTCACCACCCAGGGCATGTTGGCACCGTCAATGTATGGCCACTAAAACTGCTTGTCTTTGTCACTGACAGACTCACATTATTATTACAAGTGTCAGACAACATTATGGAAAGGATCTCTACAGAAACAGACCTTTTTGTTCAAACAGAAACATCCCGGAAATCACTATCACCAAACCCACCAGACTCCATTTAAATAAACAGTCATTTTATCATCGTAAAACACGCTTCATTCAAAGTCGATAGATACAAAGTAAAACTGTCTTAGTTCACCTTTCCACTGTTCCAATGATCACCACTCTAGTTTGTTTGAAATAAAAACTTATACAACCGGTTAGATGTGAAAACATGCTGGCTCTATACGCGCTTAAATTGCCGTTTATTTAAATGGAGTCTGGTTGGTGTGATGATGGCTATTTTTGGGCTGTTTCTGGTTTAACAAAAAGGATCTCACTCTTCAACAAAAATGTCTGTCTCTGTAGGATCATCTTTATAATGTTGTCAGACACTTAGAATAACGATCTGAGCCTGTCAGTGGCAAAAACAAACACTTTTAATGGATGTATACTGACTGTGTGAACATGGTTACATTGCAGCCTGTTTTCGCTCAATACTGGACAAGTTTAAAAACTGTTCTTCTCATTAATCTCATGGGAAAATAGGGTCCAGGTTCCAAAATACCAAAGTTACCCTTAAAGTCCAACATTTACTGTCTTTTAGCTCCGTTTTTGGTCTCTACCAACTCCTGAGGGAAATATCTGTCTCTTTAGCTGCTAAGTGCTCCACTATTTTCACCTGTCTGTCTCTAACTGTGTCTGTCTGCCACGTAGTGTTGAGCAGGTAGTGTACAGATGATTTTTAAAACATTTAAGTTGGGGCTGTAGAACCAAAACAATAAGCGGAAAGATGCTACAACGCTCCGTGAAGCTGAAGGGAAACTACAGTCAGTGATAATTCTCTGCAGTTGACCTTTTGACATTACACACAGTACACTGATCTGTTGTTAACATAAATCTTTGATAAGTGCAGCTTTAAATAAAAAAGTAACAGTATCCCTTTAAAGAAGTTAAAGGCAGCCATTTTGTTTTTCTGTTTTGCTTTGTTTTGACATTTTACCATGACTGTTTTTCTTTTTAAATTACATTTCGGTAACTGGAGATTAAAGTGGGAAGAAAACTGTGTGTATGGAGAGAAGGGGATTGATAAAACTGTTTAATAAGACAATTTTAAGTCAAATGCATATAATGCTAATCAGACGAACATCTGAGAGCAGCGTTTCATGGTCAGGCACATGAACCGAAACAAAACCTTGCACTGATTAATGAATCTGTCCCATTTAAAATAAACAGGAAATCACTCAGCGACGGTTTAGTTGCAAAAACTTTATTATCCATTTGATGTTTTCTTTGACATTTTCACTCATAATTCTAGAAAAGTGGGGGTCTTACAGATTTGGGACCCATTCCTTTGATATCATACTGCGACCGGTGCCACAGAACGGCTTCATCGACACATTCGGACTGTGATCACGTGACTGTTTGCAGCTTGGATATAGTAGTGCAGTCCTCTTGACCCTAACAGTTCAGGGTCGAGGGAAAAGGGAGCCAGCAACAGATATATAACACTGCAGAAGGATATGGTCCGGTTTTCTGTGTGTGCAGTGATCCATCATCAAGTATTCTACAGGAGGGTGCAGGCTGACCTAGACTAACATGCTTACTCTACTATCGCCTCATGCACCGCAAAGTGTGTCGTCTAGGAAACAGCTAATAGTGCATTAAATGTTGATATTGTCCCTTTTCAGTTATCTGTTATGTGGGCGCACACGTGTGCATGAGTGTGTAAACGTTTACAAATTTTTCACATATTTTCATCCACATTCTAATAAACGACACAGTGTTTTGCAACAAATTAAAACAAGGGAACGGGGAACATCAACAACAGGTGAGCTATACAATAAAGTTATACAAAATCAAAACAACTAAAAGCTTCACAAACGAGGAGAGAAGGGCTCGTCGGGATGAGAATAATATGAGCATGAACAAAATGCCAGCTAACCACGGTGTGGCCTAAATCTCAAATTCACTGTATGATGCTTTTCTCACAATAACTCCCTTTACAATGGCGAAATTAAAATAAAAAATAACGTTGAAATGTGTGAATGTTACAGGCCAGTGCAAACACAGTCTTTGTTTGAACTGCACGTGAGCGTCCTCCTGCAGGAGAAAAAGGGAGGAGATGCAACTTCGGCATCGTTATTGCTTGTTATGGTACTTGTTCCAGTTGCACTATGATAATACTGACATGCTAAGATGGAGCTGCAGAAGGAGAGGATGGTGTGGTGTGTGTGTGTGTGTGTATGTGGGTGTGTGTGTGTTTGGAGAACCAGTTTCAAAGTTTATTTTTAATTCCAGTTTAGGCGACGATTTAAATGTCTTGTACATTCCCCTTCTTACAGATCCACGTCCTACATTCTGTTTGACGTTTTTGTTTCCAGTCCATTTCTGTCCAGTCCGGCCGCCAGTTCTCGGCTCGTACGCCACCTTACAGGTCCGACCGCCTCTGTATTCACATTCAGCACAGGTTGTTTGAAAAATCGTGGCGGGAATGAGAGGAAAACATCAGCAGAGGTCGAAAGCTGCATGCGAGACGGGAGCTCCCTGATCCGAGGAGAAGAGTCAGCACGTTTTAGTTGGCTAAAGTAAGGTAGTCCGGTGTGAGCTGACTTTCAAACAGTGTCCGAGCACTCACTCAACATATAGTTTATAAGAGAGAAGAAGAAGAAGTACATTAGTAATAAATCAGATTGCCGATCACAGTAGCCCCTGACTGTTTGGCTGGTAATAGAGGACAGGAAAAAGGAGGAGAGGAGCAGCATGTATTTTTCTAGAGATAGTGTCACAATGCACAGCTCTCATTGGTTAAACCTACAGGTAATAAATAATAACGTAGCAGTAGGCTAATCAATCTCACAAGTTAGGTCACAGACAAAAAAAATAAACAAAACAAAGAAACTCCTGTGAGATAAAAGTGCACAGACGACAGACACGTGATGCCTTTCTGTTCCTCTTCCCTCCTCTTTCTCCTCGAGACGAGTTTCCAGCAACGACAATCAATCCAGGAAGTGTTCAGACGGATACAGATGGAGGGGGGGGTGTTCCCTGCTCAGTGAGGACAGTATCCAGCGATGCAGCACTATGGCAGGGTAGGAAGAGCTGACTCTGGATGGAGAAGTCTGTGTGTGTCTGTGTGTGTGTGTGCGGGTTTGTTTGAGTGTGTTACACAATGAGTGGTCCGCGGCGAGGATGTTTAGGACTCTGGTCGTCCCTGTTCTCAGCCCCCTGCTCCTCCAGGTTGATGTTGCTGGTGGAGATGTGGTGGGGGAGGGGCTCCAAAATAGGCCTGTAGCCCCCGAGGTACATCAGACCTGACGGAGAGAAGAAGAGTTACATATATATATATTAAAAAAACAACAACAGAGGCAATGTCTCCAAAGCTCTTGAGGTCACAGCTGTATTTCTGGTTTATTATTTTCTGTTGGCTTCGCTGACAGACAGCCGGCTAGCTGCGTTAACATGCGGAAACTTAAGCCCTGTTTCCACCAAACACGTTCAGTATGGTACCTTTGGAACCAACAGTAACCCTTCAGACATGGTACCTAGACCCTAGTGTTTCCACTTCAAACAGTACTTTTAAATGTGGGCAGGGTTGTTGTCACTCACTGCTCCGTCCGGCACTCGTTTATCATCCACAGAATGAGTCTGCACGCCGACATTTTCAGAACAAAATAAAACAGGCTGCAGTGAGAGTCTCTCTCCATGGGATTTTTAAAAATAGCAGGTTTGTACATTCAGTCCTTCTCAGGCAAGCTCAGGGGTTTAGTGTTGCTGGAGCCCACAGGAACAACGCTCTGTGATGCTTTTTTTTTCTGAGTGAGGGTTAGAATATATGCAGTTCACATAACCCAACTGAAACTAATATATATAAACACTTGAAGATCCACTCATTACTAAAAGTGTATGTCATATAAAAACTAAAGTGATGGTCAAAGTTTTCACAGTGAAATTTAAGGTGTGCTGATGGATTCACGTCGTCACCTCATGCATTGAGTAACATTACAAGTTAACGTTCCACCTTAAAAGTCACCAGCAGGCGGCCCAGTGAATTAAGTTATTTTTTCTCGGACTCCAGCTGCTGTGAGAGGCAGCAAAACATCCTTTCATTTTATAGTTACAGTTTCCTAATAAAACTCTCCACAGTATGAACAGTGGTTACATGAGCCTCAAAACCAGCCACAACTCAGCCCTGAGCAGAGTGACCGTCCTCTACTGACCAATCAACAGACTGCAGTGTTCACAGCTCCACCTTTTAGTACCAGATCTGTGTGCTAGGTACCCCAACAGAGGGGGGACCAAACATGGGGACAGACCAGCTAACCAGTGATAACCAGAGGGTGAGCATTACGAACTATGCTTCTGCATGTTAACGTGTCTAGCCGGCAGTTTCGCACCAAATCGAAAATATTCTCGCAGATTAACAGTTAACCACTGACATCTCTCAGCAGGACACAGCTACAAGACGAGTACGATCTCACCTGATTTCTACTAATTTCTCTTTTCATTTTCAAAGAGCTCAGGGCGGGACGATTTGTAGTTTTATCATGTGTAGTGTGTCATACTGTGACACAACCACTTCTCACAAGGCCCAGTTTTTAACCTTCTCATGCCTGAGTTTGACGATAAGTACATTTCCAGCTACTTGTTTTCATGCAAAGTTTCACTGGCAATTTTTTAAAAGAGCTGAAATATTACAGGAAAGTTTTTAAGCTTGGATGAGGTGGAAAATCTGGTGTATCATAAAGAAAATACAACAAAATGCATTAAGAACAGACTTAAATAAATCTTGAAGCGTGTGACCTTAACAAACACTGAAGAAATGAAAACATGAGATCTGTGTAGAGCCACGAGGAGACTAAAATGTCCCTTAAATCAATAAATTAAAAACAAACATAAGTCATATTTACATCATGATTTCCACAAGTGTCGCCCTTTACCTATGAAATGTTATAATGACACCTAACTGTAGAGTTAGTGTCACCAACTACTGATCTTGATGCGCCCGACTCCTGATATTCACATGACAGTGGAGGATAAACACATTACTTCACATTTTATTTTGATTTTTTTCTGGAAACGTGGATAAAATTTGTGCTCATGTCTCGACTATAATGAAGGTTTAAGGGCTGAAATGTCATGTGACTAAAAGGGAAATGCAGATGGAGCCAGAGTGTGTGACACTTCTTTCCTACTTCCAATGTCTTAATGACTATCTGTGTTCTATGACACTTTGACGGCTCAGTGTTTGATCCCAGACATTCGTCTCTAACCCCTCCTGCCCAACCACCATGTGAAGGTTCTTAAAGACTGCACTGACTGGTCATGTTTTTCACATGTAGTTTGACATGTGTCTCACCACGTCACGGCTGAATTAAATGCACTTAAGTCACCTAATGTGACAGAGTGGCCATTTTGTAGTTTCGCCTTTTTGCCCCTGTGATGAGCTCATGTGCTTCTAAATTCATTAATTCTGGCTGCAAACACTTACCCTTACAAGACATACTGAAATGCACAGTTTCATTTTGGTCTCTGCTTTAAATGTTTGGCTACCTGTTGGTACACGTCAATATATGAGTCATTAAAAGCAGTTTTCAGTATTCATAAATCAAAGTCTGCTGACTCATCCTGCAGTCTTGTTTGGACCTGCAGACCAGAAACCAGCAGCCTGGACTCTCTAAAGGCAGGACAATGATCAGTGTGCATATCTGGATAAAAACATCATCAGTTATCACCCTTTAAACTTACGCCGGGTGCACAACCTATTTTTCCTGTTTTAACGGAGCATTTCCCCAGCGCATTCCCCACCCCCAGAACAACGCCACGAGGTTCCGTTGTTAACGGACCTGGCCAGATGCGGGCGGCGAGCTAGCATGCTGTCGGCGAGAGCTGTTAGCGAAGTCATCATGTTGACTGTCACTGTACCAACTGAACTGAGACGAGTTGAGTAGTGTACTACTGAAAGAGCTGACATATAGGCGTGAAATGGGCTATGGAAATGAGCGCAAAATTTGAAAATATAGATTAATTATCAACCGCATAGAAATCAAGCTATGGTCAACAATTACTTTTAACAGTGGAAAAAAAGCTTATGCTTATTTTTCTTTTGCATAAATAAATGAGATATTGTTTGTTTACAACTGTGATTTAAACTTATTTCCTACTTCCGGCACCGTAACGCTCTGTTTCTCCCATGTTGTCAACGCCCAAGTAGGAAAAATCCAACACCTCCACAGTCTGATGGTCAACGGAACCGCTACCGTGCTGCGCGCTAGTCCGTTACTATCCATCATTTTCACCTCTATTGGAATGAATGACTTCTGGTCAGCGTCAATCCGTCAATGCAATAGGTTGTGCGCCTAGGGTTAGGCTGCTTGACTTGTTCCTTTGCACAGTACATGATACTCTACTTTCCTTAAAATGCACAGCACTTTGTTGAAATTATTAAATTATTGTAATTTTGACTCACAATAATCACATGTATATTTCTAGCTCCTGTCCTGTACTGAGGGTCACGTCAGTTCGAAGCGACTCAAACGCTCATCAGCCAACATGGTCCTGACTCACAGTGAATAACGGTAAATATCAGCCAGTGAATAAAATTAATTATTGATACTTTTAGGTCTGGACCACAGAGAATATGAATAATGAATAACATCAGCAATGAAAGCTACCTCACTTCAACTGTCACTGTGCAATGAGAAAATATAATGTAAGGCAGATTCTGAGAAAAGATTAAAACCTTTTTACAGATATTTATACTGTATTTTTTAGGAGAGAAATTCTTGAATAAAACTGAATCCTGATAAAAAAAAAAAACATAAGATTGTTACTGTGCATGCAAACTACATATATGACCCTAAAGTCTGATCTACCATCTAGCCATAACTCCATACCTAGTCCTCAATGTGCACTGGGCACGACTCCTCATCTGTCCATCCGAAAGAAGGCGAGAGAAGGAAGAAAGAGACAAAGGAGACAAAGGAGAGGAGAGAGGAAGGAAGGAAGGAAGGAAAATGTCCAAGAAAAGACAGCAGAAAATGTGAAGAATGACGGGGGAAAAGGAGAGAAACAGAGAGATAACAGAACACTTTTACGACACAGAAAGAGAAAACATGTCACACCATCACAGACCAACGGGGTGACGTCAGGTTCGAGGGGATGAAGGGAAATCAGGGGCTAAGAGAGCTGCGAGACGGATGCAGAGCTAAAGGCTGTTAGGCAAGTCTGAACCCAAAACTTAGAAACACAGTAAATCAAGAACAAAATGGACGCCTTTAGCTCTCATCACAGTGACCCGCCGAGTGTTAGGAAGCAGGGAGCAGGATTAGGAGAGGACAGGAGGAAGGGAAGATGGAGGGCGGTGAGAATGAGTTGCAGATGTTTGGCAAAGCGGCTCGGAGCTGGCAGACGCTGAACATGAACTTCAAACTCTGGGATGGACCCGACTCTTTTCTCTCCCTCACACACACTCACACAAACAGAAAACACCAGCATGCAGAGAGCGCTCAAACACACCACATGATGCACTCAAACAAACACACACACACACATCAGGGCTTCAGCTAAAGGAGGGAGAGGAGGGAGAGAGTGCACAGCTAACCGGTACTGAAGAAGCAATGAAGCACCACAACACCAAAGGGTAGGGATGAAGAGAAGAAGGAAGGCTCCAGATCTTCATGCTGGGCAAAGATGCTACAAAACCTCTCTGATCTCTAACTGCTGCGAAATAAAACATCTGATTTCTTTTTAGCTTTAATTTGCGTCAGCGTGTTAGTATGTGTCAGAAATCATTAACTCTTCTGACTCATGCACTCTGTCTCCACCCCCCCCTCATCTTCCTCACCCCCCCCCCCACTCTCATGCCCAGTCCTCAGCTCTCATCAGTCCATGTTCGAGAGGTTGCCACTCACCGGCGAATCGGCTGTCGGGAGCCTGCTCATTATCCAACCCCAAAGAGGGCGTGTCACAGAGGGCGACGCCCTGATTGTTATTGGCCAACTCTGGACACCTGCTCCGCCCACCTGCAAGCGAGGGCAAAGGTCAAACAAGAGCAGCCAGGCACAGCAGGGGGGAGGAGGGGGGAGAGGGGGGAGGCAGGCAGGGTGAAGGAGGGAGGGGAGAGGGTGTCAGAGGTGGAGGGGTGAGGACGGCCATGCTGGAACGGCATTAATAAAATAATGAATGATAGATTTTTGCATTTTACCACCATGTGTCTGATTTACACGTCAGATTTAAAGGACAGGCTTGGAGAAACAGAAATCAGCTCATTTGCTCTGATCGTCTGAATCTTACTTTTAAACTTTTTTTTTATTTTTTTATTTTTCAAAAGTTGAATTTGATTTTTTTTTTTTCTCACACAAATTTAGATTAAAAAAACCCTGAAGTATCAGATTTTCAAAAATAGTGTGATTGGTCAAATTCAGAGTCAAAAATTCAAGTAGAAAAATCTGTTTTTTCTTTTTTTAAATTCTGAAATTTAAAGTTTTGAATCTGAATTTGTGAAAGTTGAAAAAAAAATCTAATTCATCTTCTGAAATTGCAAAACAAGACATTTCATGTTTTAATTTCAAAGAGGTGAATTCAGAACAATAAATTCAGATGGTTTTCCAAAGTAAAATATTTCAATACTATGAATTCAGATGTGTTTAACTTTAAATACTTTTGTCTCGTAGAACTAGACCTTCATCAGGCAAACTGTGCACTGTTTGTCATAAAATCAGCAATAAAATCTTTTTTTTTTTTGCGAGTTAGAGAGTGTGCAGGAGTTTTTCTACAAGTTGCAACCTGCTCATCCCTCTCCTACACACCTATTTGAAAACAGATGTGCTAAGTATTCCTTTGTTCATTTATTCTGTATGTAAAATTTAAAAAAATCTGACTCAAGAAGGAACAAAAATCCAACAAGTGTGATCTGATATTAATACACAGATCGCTTCACAAGATTTAATTAAGCAGACTGACGTGTACAAAATGGACAAAGCGAAGAAGAACAAGTGATGTTCATCTTGCTCTATACCTTATTATCAATATATCAGGAGAGATTATTACTTTACCACTTTTCTTAAATTAAATTAAAAAAGTCCTACACAAAAAGTTTCATTATTACCATATTGATATATTGGTTTGGGGCGATATGAGAATATAAATTTGTCAGTCTTAACAAAATGTTGTCATACTGTTTATATTGTGGCTTAAATTATTGTGGGCAATATTTGATTTTTATATTATCTGTGTGATAAGATAACATTGATTTGACAGGTATTAAATTTAACGGGATGCTGCATCATTTTTATCCACAAAAAAAATAAAAAATAAAAAATAAAAAATAAATTATATTTGATCATGACAAAGCGTTCCCTTATGTCCTGGTTAAAAAAATAAAATAATAATAAAAAAAAATTAAAAAACGTATATCATGATTGACATATTTTTC